TTGCTGCTGCTGGTAAGACAATATTTTACTCTTAGGAAGGATAAAAGGATTATTTAGTGGCTAACTTTGAATATATGTATCAAAGCCAACGTTTTTTGGACTATAAGATTTATCTCCCATAGCTAAGGTGCAGTCAGAATGTTTTTACTGAACACCTTAGATCCACAAATCATAATAGGGCAAATTTAAGGAGCAGGGGTTGTGGGGGAGCGCTTTGAGTTAATTTTGACTCCTGATGACTGCCTGGACTAATACATTTTCATGGCAACAATTTCAAAAGCAAATTGCTACTTCTTTCTTCCTATTGACTACCTCTAAATTATCAGCTGGCTTCATGCCTAAACTGAACTAATACTTCCAAAATTAGAATTTTGAGTTCAGAAAGGCGATTTGAATATTCTGCATATTAAACTTCATTTCTCCAGATTATCTACATCTCAGTTGTTTCTCTTGTTGAAATAAATGGGAATTAGAAATTGTGTCAATCTAGCACATCACCTAGATTGATAGTAGAAGATACAGGTCCATTCTGTCCTATTGCTTGTTGATCATTTAAAGCAGATTTAGCGAATCTTGTAGCAGCTGAAGATCATATTTACTGTTTTTAAACTGTGAAAATTTAAAAGGTAGTTGGTAGACAGAGTGTAACATTAAACCTGGACATGGCCAGGTCAAAAGAAAAAAAAATTAAAAATAAATGGAGTAATTTTCTGTGGATTATAATATTTAAATCTAATTTATTTTTTTAAAGTTTAAATCCAGTCTAAATTTATAGTGTATAGAGCCAGTTTTCTCTTGTGGTTACACCACCAGATAGAAAGCATGAGACAATGAGTTCAAGTCGTGCCTTAGCCATCCTCAGCCCAGCCCACCCTACAGGGTTGTTGTTGTGGGGAAAATAGGAGGAGGAAGATGTGTTAGATATGTTCGCTGCCTTGAGTTATTTGTAAAAACGATAAAGGCAGGGTACAAATAAATAAATGATAAATAATTTAAATATCTCCCTTCAAATAACAGTGTTACAAATCAAAAGTGCTTCTTAATCAGCAAATTGCAATGAGGAGATGGTTAATAAGGTCACATTAGAGCTCTATTTAGGAAAAGTAACACAGGTTGCCTTCTCGTGCCTTGTAACAGTATCAATTTAGGTAACAATGACCACAAATATCAAGATCTGATGGTCCGAGTGGTTATTGTCATGTTGGATGCCATACCAAAAAATCTTGGATAGCGCATTAAAAATCTGCACATTGACAAAATTTCCATCTAACAGTTAGAAAAGATCATTCTGCTGGGATTCACATAAATATTATCCTAATACAATTTCTTAGGTTCTTAGGAAAAACTCGATGCGTTTGAAGGCCAACACAACTGAAAGACTGACAGTTGTGATTTCACATAATATTTTTACTGAACTAAGAAAGTTGTGAGAAAAAAAATACAGAATTAAAAACATCGATACAAGCAAAAGCAAAAAAGGGAATCAAATAGGCACTTCATAAAATACACATACAGACACATATGCATATTTTAAGATATACTCTTTGGAATCTAAGGAGTCATGCCATCTAGCAAACTAGGCTTGGCATAGCCTTTCTTTGTAAAATCAAATTAGGAGAATGTGACTTCTGGTCTAGTATGCGCTTTTCCTTTCCCCTTGCTCTTGACTGCTGGAAAGAACAGGGTGGCAAGAAAGTAAATAATGATATGATGTCCTGTATTTCCATTGCAGTGAAAAATAACAGTGAAAAAAACTAGACAATCTACTGTTATTTCTTAGAACTAGTTATATAAAGAACAGAATGAGTGAAATCTCCTTTTTTGGGGGGGGGCTACAGAAGTTATAGACCCCGCAAAGCGAAGGCATCACTTACGAGAGGTTGTGTATTCTCTACCTCCTGCTAATTTCAATACTTCGAGGGTACTCTTCCAGCATCTTTCCAGGTGAGCAGCATCATTTTCCAGATCTTTTGTCAGTTTGGGCTGTTAAAATACTAATTTTACAATAAAAGCAGTCCTGTGACCATAGATCCTTTGTAAATGTATTGCTTCAACCACAGTCTCCTCCAAGCTAGAGTCCACCCTTATGACAGTTTTCTTTGCCTTTTGGTCTTCCTATCTTTAACTTCCCACTTGAAAGCAGACCCCTACCCCGCTCATTTCCTTATCCCATCAGGCCTGTCTGCTTGCCTGATTGCACCACTGTAGAAATTTAGTTGATGACACTTTCAGTTGCTATGCTGCTTGAAAGAAACAATATTTAATGAAACTTAAACAGCCAGATAGGCACAAAAGGGCAAGTAGTTAGCAATCATCTTTATAGAAGACTATTAGTACTTCATAAAAGTATTGTAAGTGATAAACTTAAACCCAAGCAAAAGAAATTGGAATTTAAGTCCACTTACTTCTGGTGGCATAGCAAAATTTTCTTATGGCTTCAAGGTGTTCTTCCTTTTTTTTCCCCCCAGGGTTGTAGAGTTCCGGGAGAAGAACCGCATGTCCCAGCAGAGTATTGCAATTGTTTTTGGGCCAACTTTATTGAGGCCGCAGGATGAAGAAGGAAATATAGCGATGTACATGTTTTTCCAGAATCAGGTTATGGAGCAGATCCTTAGCCAGACCAGTTACATATTCCCAGAAAGCTAGACATAGAGCTGTATAATGGAGTGACTGCAATGTGAGAACCACTCCTGCTGCTGTAAGGAAAGAGGGGTCACTGGCTAGAGCCACAGATAGGGAAATGAAGCTGGGAGAGAAACATTTGGCAAGCAAGCAAATCTTCTCTGCTGGATTCAAAAAGTTTGTTTCTGTAGGTTGGAAACATGGGTGAGTTAACCCTGTTGGACAAGTAATGGGCTAATTTCCTGGCATGGCATTCTGCATCAGTAATTTTCAACACTTTCGTTGACTATGACTTGGTGTGGGTAATGTGTGGGGAAAATGGGAGGTTTTGTGGGTGAATCTAAAGATTTATTTTTCAACTGAAGTAATTATTTTTCAAGCAATACTACTTGCTGTGAAGGAGTTGAAGGAAACAGTATACCAATTAATATATTTTGAATTTTCAGGAGGCTTTTCTTTAATGAAGCATTGTTGAAAATGTGAGATGGGCTTGAAGAAAGTCAGACTTTCATTTGGGCTAACACTGATTACTCTGACCACACTTTATTGACTGCACGGCATAAAATGCCACAGTACTAATATATGATCACAGTATTGGCATTGTAATACAGAATACAGATTTGTTATATTAATTTCTGTGTATCCGTTGCTTGTTCCAATATATGTGTAAATTATCTAAGGTAAGATAACTTGCACTTTGAGATCAATAAAGTGGAATTCAACCTACCTGTGTATCTGATCCTTGAGTAAACCAAGTTCAATATAATTACATATATGTTTACATAAAAGAGGACATCCCATGAACTGTAGAACCCAACAGTTATATAACAACAATGGTTGGCAAAATGGCCAAAAGTTATAACTCTTCAGAAGATTGAGAGGTTGAGTTGTAGCATCTGACCTCCCAAATACTGCATACTCTATGGTTGGAAGCTGCTCAGAGAGCTTGTTACACCTATAGCTCCGTCCTAATGGCCTCTCCCACAGGGATGCTTTGGGAATTTTAGCTGGATCTTTTTTTCTCTACCACCTCCAAGCTGGCCCATTTTCAGGCATTTTTTAATATTATCTTTTATATTATTATCTTATATCCTATTCTATTCAATTTTCAGAGAGTTATTTTGTTGAAAGGCAACGACAGTAGGGTATAGACCACATTGACTGATGGCACCACCACCTGCTGATGTGAAAATTTGTTCTTTTAGAATTATTTGGACGGGTTTAGCATTTTTCCCCATTAAACTAGATCTACTCAGCCGTAGCCTAATGCCAGCCTGGGACAGAAAGAATTCCAGCCTCCTCCTCTATATGTTTTCTTTCAATATTCCATTAAGCAGAAAAGAAAATCAGAATAGTGAATGTATGCAGAAAGTTATTCTGCTGACAGTGGGTCGCAAACACATCCTTGAAAATCCATAAACTATTTTGGAAATTTTTTTCTCTCTCTCTTTTGTTTAAATGCAATAGTTTTGTTTTTGTTTTGTTTTTTGTCTGTCTTGATGGAAAGAGAAGGCACTTCATCCAGGATTTTTAGTGGGTAATGAACTTAGAAGACCTAGCATATTGTCCAGGTCTTCTGTAGCATTAATTTTTATCTCCGGCTACAACTACCCAGCATTCTTTTATGGGATTCGTAAAATTTGAAAAGCCATGAGACAGCTGTCTATGCTCATCATTCTTTCTTAGAAGGCTCTACTTTAGCCTAGGATTGATGGTGCAATTTACTTTGTGGCAAAGGCATGTATGAACAGTATATACATGTGTGTTTTAAGTAGTAATTTATGTTATAATGCAAACAACTGCCTCTGATTTGCTGATAACATCAGCAAATGTACTTGGATAATTTCCCTAATATAGTTTAATTCTATGTACTTCTTCAGAAGTTAAAATTAAGATCCGTATGATATGCCTTAATTAGATAATAAAAACTAGTGAATATAGTACTTCTTTCACCTCCTATACAAAACCTATTTTTAAAATGAGTATTACAGCTGGAAGATTTTCGTTCCATTGTGACTGCTTCTAAAGTAAACAGATATACAATAATAAAACTTAAAGAAAACATACTGGCTGGGGAATCCTGGGTGTAGAAGTTCACAGGTCTCTTAAGTTGCCAAGCACTAAGAAAAGCACTAAGATACAATCAAAAGTTTGTGAAATGCTGCTTTATAGTATTTATTAGACAGATTACAATATACTTCATTCTTGCGCATACTGCACAACCTCCTGCAAGGAAAATTGAACACCACGTCTCCACTGAAAGCACCCCACCCCAAATCCCCTATGCATGGCCAGCCCACTTTCAAAGCTCGCCTCTGTCCATCTGGCATCTGTTCAGTTTTATCTTGCTCAGGAATGTAGGCAGGACTTAACAAGACGGCTGAAAGAGTGTTGCACTAGCAGACAAGGGGCCTGTCCTACCTTCGAAGGAACTTGCTTGGAGGGGCTCTTGGCAAGGGAAGCAGTGTGGCCTCCTCCAGTACAATATTCCCAGGTAAAGGGACGAACTATTTTAGTGTGCTCCCTGGTTACCTCTAGACGAAGCCTTTACCTTGTGGGAGGGGATGATTCTGTAGCTACATTTGGGTGCATTTCCATTTACTTTTGTGAAAAGATCTGAAAAGAGGCAAGAGGTTTTTTTTAATCCCTCTTTTGTTTTAAGAGTAAGAAATGATCAGAGTTCACAGACTAATCCTCTTTTAAAAACCAGATGTTTTGCTTCAGAGAAGGCCTCTGTTATAAGGAAGCTGTTGCTAAGGCAAAATTCCTAAGCTTCCTCACTGCCATGTTTCATATCTCTTTTTAATGTTATGACTTTTACAAAGGAGCTGTGTTGACAGTGGGTTTGGTAATATCCACGAAGTTTTTCTGATAATAGTGAAGTTGTGATGCGTGCATAAAAAGTGGAGTATAACAGAAACTGTTAGGAAAACACCTAAAATAAATTAAGACTTTCTACTGTTCTTTGTTGGGGGGGGGGTGTTTTTAACAATTATTAAGTCACCCAAAACTTCTGAAAGCAGCATACGCATTCATGTTATGATAGATTGCACAATCCACCAGATGTAGATACTGTTTAATAATATTAAACATATCATCACAGGATGTAAGCTGTTCCAAAGAAGCCTGCCTTTTGCAATTGACTGATAGTAATTTTGTTAATACTGTTGATGTTCAAGTAGTACTCCAGATGCTTTGGAAGTGCATCCTAGGTGCTTATTAATGTTGGTATAACTTTTGCATTCTTTTGCCACAGTTCTATTTCTATTTGCAGTTATTCTATTTCTATTACAATACGCTGTAACCTTGTATTTTGTATATTTTGTCCAGTTTTTATTTATTTATTTATTTAATTTATATGACTGCCTACAGTGATTCAGCAACTAAAAACCCATTCAACCACCCCACCGGAGCAGCAGCTTGAGGTCCCCAAGCCCACTGCCAATTCATGTTTTCAAAGCATTCCAGAAAAATAACAAGATGGGAGCCAGTCTTATCTTTGGTTGAGTGGTATTCCATTGACAGGAAGCCACCAATTTTTCTTGGTCCCACTGTGTGTAATGGATGGGACCCACAATTTTCTTTCTATTCCACTGTTTCCAGGTATTGCATAGTCTATTATTATGTAGATTCATAGTTTAATATTGATGGAAACTTAATAATTCAGATCTTAACCAAGAACCTGGGAATTATTGAGATAGCATCTAAGAATATAGGCAGTTCCAAGCAGCATGGCTCTTTAAAATTAGAGTGTTCTGTACTGAAATACTGGTAAATTTAGTATTTCCAGATATCAAGATAATTCTTTAGGTATCATTTTGAGGGTTCCAATCACAACTGGATTTCTTTTCCATAAGCACTCAACTTCAATCTGCAAGTCCTGGTATTTCTTAATTTTATCCAATTGCTTCTCCTCAATTCTAGAATCACCAGGAATAGAAACATCAATGAAGCAGACTTTTTTCTTTTTAATAATTATCATATCAGGCATGTTACAAATAACTATAATGAATTATCTCTTTGGATCTTAAAATCCTGTAAGATCTTAACCTACTCATTTTCCAAAACCTTCTTGACCGAATGGTCCTATTGCAATAGATTCCTCAACTTTTCACATGTGGATCAAATTAAGATTAAGATGCTTTAAAAGTTAATCCAACTTGTGCAAGAGGGAAGGGGAACTACAGTTTTATATTAGACCACAAACACAGAAAAGTATAGCTAACTAACATTCCCAGTGAGAAATTATCCCACTATAAGAACAAATTGATTACAATAATGAGATATGCTTTGTTGTTTAATAGTGCAAGATTTATATAAGCAGTAGAATTTAAGTTTAGAATAGTCTTAATTTTGAAAGTCCTGCGAAACATATATCCTATCACTGGATATCACACGCCTCTACTTTGCATGGTAACTGTAAACTGTGCCAACCTCCTGCTCCATAGTCAATGTACATGCCATCCTTTTTTCCCATGAAAAACCAATTGAGCCAGTGTCTAGTGTCTGCCAGGCCAAAAGTGTTTCCAAGGAAGTTATCTTTGTGTTCCATGTGTTCTTGTGCTATTTACTGTGGGTTGGGATGAGGGGGTAAAGGTCATGTATGACTAATGTTATTTGCTCAGTTGCTTTCTTCACACTAAAGTTCCGGTTATGGTGGCAGATCCTTTATTCCTACAGAGTCCAGGTGAGAAATTTTTTATTTTATTTTTTAAAGCCTGTGGTTTCCAAAGTTAAATTTGTTAGACTTCCTATAGCAAAAGTTCATTTCCCAACTTCTATACTGAATGCACAATATAACCAAGCAACACAATTATCTTCACCTGATTGCTTTAGCAACTTAGAAGGTACTTCAATTAAGAGTTATTATTTGGGTTTACTTAATAAAATAAAATACAGCCAGTACACCAGTGCTGGTGGAACTGACGAATTAAATCACGAGCATGAACATACCATGCATTTTCCCAGGTGAAGTGATCTGCAACTGTGTAGCCTTTCCAATGAATCAAGTACTGAATACCTTTGCCTCTTTTCCTAAAGTGTAAGTCTCTTCCACCTTGTATTCTCGTTCTCCCTCTACTAAGACTGGCATTTGAGGATGTTGCTGGGATCTTATTGGGCTTAGGGAGACATCTTCAGAAAGTAATGCTTGGTGAAATACTGGCCTTCCCATTCGTGGCAAGCGGGTAAGCTGAGGAGAGGTTGATCTTGACATTTAGTAGCTGGAAAAGTGCTTTCCAAAATCTAGATTGGAATTGCATGCCTCTGTCTGACACAAGTGCTAATACCATGCCATGGTAGCAAAAGACATGGTCTAGAAAAAATTAGGCTGTGTCTTTATCTTTGTGAGTAAGTCCTGGTGCAGTTGGGTAGCTTCCAGCCTCTCAGTGGTTGGTGGTGATTGATGAATCTGGGAATTGGAAGATTGTAGGATTGTTGTTGGTTATGGGATCTTTTGAACAACAGAATATACTGGTTTGTGAGAGAACATATCTGGCATTAAGTTCTTGGAGCCTGGGATGCATTTATGTAGAAATCAAAACATGAGAAGAATTGACTCCATCCAACTTTTCTGGATGAAAGTGGCTTTGTTTGTTGCAGTAGGTAGATTCTTGTAGTCGGTGTTGATCTCTGTGGAAAACATGCACCATCTAGGAAGAGTTTCCAGTGTTCGAATGCTGATGTAACAGCAAGGAGTTCTTTATTAAACATGTCATAATTGCATTGTGGGGCAGAGGGGATTCTGGAAAAGAAGGTGCATGGCAAAAGGCATGCTTTAATTTTTCAAAGACTGATTGGTGTGTAGACACCCAAGTGAATTTAATTCTCTTCTTTGCCAGTTAAGTCAGTGGTTTGGCTTTGTGAGCAAAGTCTAGTATAAATTTCCTGTAGAAATTAGCAAAGCCCAGGAAACATTGGACATCTTTGGCTATGCGAGGGGCTTGCCAGTCTAGTACAACTGGGACTTTCTGCGGTCCAGAAATACAGTAGTCCAAGAAGTCTAGTTGTTGTAAATCAAAGGCACATTTTTCTGGCTTAGCAAGGAGCTGGTTATCTCTTAGTCTACCGAGGAGCGTGTGCACATCGTCTGTATGCTGAGCCTCATTCTCAGAGGCTCTAATATTAAAATATTATTCAAATATAAGACCATAAATTTATCTTGAAAAACTTGGTCCATGAACCTAGAAAAGATGGCCAGGATATTGCACAGACCAAGAGACATCACTTTATATTCAAATTTGCTGTATCTGGTGTCAAAGGCAAATTAAGTATTCATGGCCTTCTTTTATTAGAATAAGGTAAGCATTGTGGATGTCTAATCTTGGAAAATGCTTGCTTTCAACAGTCTATCTAATAGGTCTGAAATTAATGGCCGTGAATAACAGTCTCTTACTGTGACTGCATTTAAAGCCTTGTAATCATGGATTGCCCTCAGTTGCAGAGGGTATCACTATTATTAGGCCCACTGGGGTCTTGCTTTTTGAATATGAAGAAGGTGGAAGCTGAGGCAAGCAACTGGGGGGTGGGGAGGTCATATGAATCCCTTTCGCAAATTACATCACAAATATTATTTTAAAGCTTCTAATTCTGTAGTAGACGTTTGGAATTGTCGCTTGGTAGGAATTTTGACACCAGGGACCAGGTTTATGGTGCAATCACAATCTCTGCATGGAGAGAGGGCTGAGGCTTCTTCCTCCCCAAACCATCAGCAAAGTCTGTCTATATACTTGTCAAATTGGGAAACTCTCTATGAACCATTGGAGGTGGGTTGGCGGGGGGCTTTGGAGGGCCGATCACAGTGAGAAAGGCATTCAGCATTTTCAAGGGCAATAAATTGTTTTTTTCCACTTAATATTGGGTCATGGTCTTGTAACCAAATGTTCCCAGCACTAGTGGAAGATCTATATGTTCCACTACAAAGAGAGTTAACTCTTCATGCTGATTTACAGCTAATCTTCAACTTTCGACCACAATTGAGCCTAAAATTTATGTTGTTAAGTATTTGTTAAGTGAGTTTTGCCCCATTTTAGAACTTTTCTCACCACATTTGTTGAGTAGTTTCCCCATTGACTTCACTTGTCAGAAGATCTCAAAAGGGGATCACATCACTCCAGGACACTGCAACTATCATAAAAGTGAAGGACTTGTCAAGCATCTGAATGTAAATCATATAACCATGGGGATGCTGCAATGGTCATAAGTGTGAAAAATAGTCATGTCACTTTTTTCAGTGCCGTTGTAACTTCAAACTGTCACTAAATGAACTCTTGTGAGTCAAAGAGTACCTGTATTGTTAACTTCAAAGGCACTGTGGCATGAGTAATTGGTCCAGCTTTTAAAATTTGACCATCAATAGTTAGCAGTAAAAGATTTTTCAGCCTGCCCTTGAAGGACTAAGTCATTCCATACATCCTTGAAATATTGATCTAGTTCTCACCTGCTAGAAGAGTTTACATAATTTTCCCAGAACTGCCTTATTTGTGAAGTGGAAACAATGGCAACAGGGAAAGTCTGTTTTGAAATTTGAAAGAACTGGAGGTAGTTTGGCAAAACCCATCCTCATAAACTAGTTAAGTGCTCATTAGAAATCCCAATTTCCACTTTTGGCATCTCCAGTTGATAGATGTATTTTATATCCCAACACATAAAAAGGAGAATCTCTTGGCTGGGCTGTTACTTCCAGGCAGAACCAGTAATGATAAAAGGCTAAGAGATATTTGTTGGGATACTGTTGGTACTGGGAAAGGTGATAGCTTTCACATCTACTGAAAAGGTATGTGGAAAAAGTGATTTAGGACAGAGACTCTTCAATAGACACATATACATCATTCATTTCATTGAAACCTTTCTTCAGTCAGTCTACCATGATAGTGGGTTCAAAGGATGTCCCAAAGGTGCTTTTTCAGGAGATAACTGGACTTTTTGGTTTTTCTTTGAAGACATTTCGCTTCTTATCTAGAAGCTTCCCCAGCTCTCAGTGGATGGTGGGGAATAAAAGGATTTATACTCCTTGAATACAGGTGGTCATTTGCATTCTTTTAGAGAGTCATTGAGGCCATTTGGAGGTTTATCTGTGTCAGATGTATTAAACAGGTTCTGACCAGTTCTGGAGAACCGGTAATGGAAATTTTGAGTAGTTTGAGAACCGGCAAATACCACTTCTGACTGGAGATTTACAGTATTCTTCTCCTGCCATGCCCACCAAGCCACGCCCACAGAACCGGTAATAAAAAAATTTGAATCCCACCACTGATCTGTGTCATCACAGTCACCTGAGTAGTGCAAATGGATGTGGGCTTTCTAGGAACTGTAGAAAGGACTTTGTTGTAGACTGGAGATAGATGATGTCATATCTCTCCCCCTCTGTGGAGGGAAGGTTGTTCAATTTTGACATAGATGGCCTCTTTGACCTCTCTTTCAAACCAGCAGTTCTCTCTGTCCAAAATGTGGACTTTGCTGTCTTCAAAAGAGTGGCCTTTGTCTTTTGAATCTTGTCCTGGACTGCTGAATCCTGTCCTGATGGGTTTGTTCTGCTATGTTGTGCCATGCGTTTATGAAGTCGTTGTTTTGTTTTCCCAATGTACAGATCTGCACATGGCTCACTGCATTGTACTGCATATACCACGTTACTCAGTTTGCTTCTGAGTATTTTATCGTTGGAGTGGACAAGCTTCTGACAGTGTATTTTTGGGTTTGAAGTGTGCACGTATTATGTTTTGGCTGAAGATCCTCCTGAGCTTTCCAGTATTGCTGCAATGTATGGAATGTTGATGTTGCTTCATTTATTGTTCTCTTTGTGTCTGTTATGGAGGAGCTTCTGTAGCATCTTTTTGAGATCTGATGAAAGCCCACATGGAATAGTTACATGTTCTGAGGGCTCCCTTGGTGTATTTTCTCCCCACATGGAATAGTTACATGTTCTGAGGGCTCCCT